ATACGCTTCATTCCATAACCGGACAACTGAAATATCCCTAACACACTTGTAACTCCGGACTGTACACATATCAAGACAGAAATCAAGCACTCGATAGTCCTTTTCACATCCCAAGAAAACTCTTCTCGTCTTGTCCAAGCCATCTGAACACATCCCATAGTCACATAATACACATCATATAGCTATCCGACCACACCGAGCCGCCAGTCTCACTCCTAGGGACACTAGCAGACATATAAGTCCAAAAGCAGATACTCACAAGACTAAACTTACCGCACCTGAGCTATGGTCAAAACCCGACCTCAAGTCCTCCAGACATGCCTAAAACCACAATACCGAGTACACATCTTGTACCTCATCCATGGAATAGCAAGCCGTCGATGCACAACTAATACCGAGCGCTCAACACAACACATGAGTGAGTGGGAGGAATTCAAAGAGGTATGCTTTAAGCTAAATCAATACCGCACGATAAAGAAAGAAGAATGGAAAGTTTATCCTAAATGCCCTATAGCCTTTCGAAGATAGGTATGAACGTCATCATACCAATCCGCAAGAATCTACTAGACATTTGCTCATGACTCACAGAACTTATGAACCTATAACTCTGATATCAACTTGTCATGATCCAAAATCCACTAGTCGTGATGTCACCTAACTCAACCCCCTAGGTAAGTCAATTAACCGTCAGCATATTCCAAATGAGAATAATGAGAAATAAATAAATTTTGATACAACAATTCAAGGACTGGTAGTACAAGTCATGAGCCACTAAGACTTAGATTTACAAATCAAAATGAAACAATTACAATATCTGTTTGGAATGTACATGAACAGATTTCGGATCTAAAGCTACCAAGGACAAATGATAGCCATAACTAGAATGTGGGTACATCTTCAATGTCTGCTTCCACCATGACATCAACATCAGTTCCAAGATCTACGCGCAAGTTGCAGAAGCGTAGTATGAGTACAACCGAACTCATGTACTTAATAAGTATCCTAACTAACCTCGACGAGGTAAAAGGAGCAAGAACTATAAATGATACTCACTAACACTTGTGTAGTTCATAATTTTAACAAGTATATAATAGATATGTGATCAAATCAGGAAAGTCTCAGGTAAAACCCACTTTGATGAGCACAATTCTTTGTTTTAAAGTGTTCTACTTAGAGCTCGTTTGGACACAATTTTTTTCCCTTTATTCCAAAAAAATTTCACCTTTTCACGAAATTACCGTTTGTTCATAAATATTTAAATTTTCACTTGAAGATGCATTTTGGAAATTTTTGAAAATTTTAAAAACTCCAAAAAATTATTTTCCAAAATTTTCACTCAAATCACTCACAAAACTTCAAAAACAACGCAAAATTATATTCATTTCCAAACACAATTCTAAATTTCAAATACCATTTTCACTTGAATTCTTTTTTTACCATATTTTGGAATTTTACAATTCTTATGTCCAAACACCCACTTAGTCAACAATATAGCATATAAAGAAGATATGAAAGTAAATCAGGTAAAACATCAAGGAGATTGCAAGTAAAGATGAAATGCAATAACTAATGCGCACAACCCGATACAATAACCATAAGCCAATAAGGCATGTTGCGGCATGCAACCCGATTCATCAATAGTAACCAGCACTCCCAAAACTCACATCAAGTAGAAACCCTTCGGTTTCTCACAATCCACGTGTACATCATCAAGAGAAAAATATGAGAGGGTGAACCTACAGGGATGGATCCTTATCCACATGCAAGCACGACCAATTCAACGTGATATCAGCTCGGCGTGGTCACAAGCTCAATATCATAATCCGTTCGGCATAGTCACATGCTCAATGTGATGGATCTGCCTGGAGTGATCACATGCTATATCACAATCCGCCCAGCATGGTCATGGGTATATCAACACAATCCGCCTGGCGTGGTCATAGGCATATCAACACAATTTTCCAGAGTGGTCACATGCATATCAACACAATCCACCCACTGTGGTCACAGGCATATCAACACATTCCACCCGACATGGTCACAAGCATATCAACACAATCCACCCAACATATTCACCAGTATAACAACACAATCTGCCCGGTGTAGTCTCAAGCATAACAATACAATCCCCCTGGTATGGTCACAGGCATAACGACACATTCTGCCCGGCATGGTCACAAGCATATCAACACAATCCGCCTGACGTGTTAACCAGCATAGCAACACAATCTACCTGGTGAGGTCTCAGGCATAACAATACAATTCACCTGGCATGATCACAAGCATAACAATACAATCCGTCTGACGTGGTCACAAGCATCTAGTCCAAATCATATGACACAAAAGTAAATATACAAAAACATATGTATATCATGAATAATTATTAAATTTCATGCTTTTGGACTGGTATAATAACATGCTAAAGTTTAGACATGTACAAAGTGTGTTATCATAGCTCAAATTGATAATTTTATCACAAAAATAGCAATTAGCAAGTTTATTTAGGGAATTAGCTCTCTGTAACCTCAAACATGACTTAAATAGTTCACAACAATGATAAAACTATGAGAAACATTATAGCTCAAAGCTTAACACTTAACTCTAGGCATATCATAACCTAAGCATCACCCCGAGCATGGATAAACACCCTGGTACTCGCACATGGGCTCAACCTCACATATATGTGCACTCATAGCGCGTAGCTATCACTAATAATTCAGGAAATTAGTGCCTCAACCAAGTTTAGATAAGACACTTGCCTCAAATAAGCCAAAACAAATATCGAGCAATCCAAACGACCCTCTAGAAATGCCATCCTACATGTATCAACCTCCAAATGGCTCGAAACTAGACAAAAGCAACTCAAAAACATCAAATAATTCCATAAGAGACAAACCCAATCGATAAAGGTCGAATCTTTAATCAATTGCTCAAAGTCAACCAAAAGGGAAAACCCGTGTCCGCACCTCGAAACCCGACAAAACTCATAAAATCTGACAATCCATTTAGTTACGAGTTCAACCATACTAATTTCACTCAAATCCGACTCCGAGCATCTCAAAAAAAAAATTGCTTCAGGAAACTTTAGACAAAAATCCTCAATTTCTCTTTAAATTTCATAATTCAAATGCCAAATCGAAGATAGATTCATGAAATATAATCAAACCCAAATAGAAAACATTTACTCAATCCATGTGGTAAAAATCGCCTCCAAAATCGCCCAAACCTGAGCTTTATAGCTCAGAATATGATAAAATGACCAAGACCTTCGAAATAGAGTAATTGATACACTGCTCTAGAGGTACCCTTCGTGATGACGGTCATATACCTCGCGATCGTGATTCCAAAATTTTCCAGCAAATTTTTACCATATGCGATCGCGAACATTTTCCCGCGATCGCTATGAACAAATTTTCATTAACCCTTCCCAAACTCTTATCAGATAACCTATAATTTATCAGCCATCACCTTTTGTACATAACTCAAAATGACAAATGATTTGACTTTTTGATAGTTAGAAACAAAGGGCTACAACTTTTGTTTTTGGATCATCTCCAAATTCCTTATAGATTTCAAGATATAAGCTTCTAAAATCAGCTCAGTGATAGCAGAATTTCTTCTTCGCGAATGCAAAGCTTCCCCGAGAACGTGATTCACCGGTCCAATTTTTCTATTTTACTCTTCGCGATCCCAACCAATTCTCCGTGATCATGATATACACTCCTGTAGCCAAAAACTAGCAGTTGGAAATGGCTTAAAATGGTCCAAAATTAATCCGAAAGCCACCCCAGCCCCTCGGGACCTCGTCCAAACATGTAAATAAGTCTCATAACATAATACAGACTTACTCAAGGCCTCAAATCACGTAAAACAACAACAAAACCACGGATTGTACCTCAAATCAAACCTAATGAACTTTTGAACTTTCAACTTCCGAAACTCGTACTGAACCATATCAAATCAACTCGGAATGACCTTAATTTTTGCATACTAGTTACAAATGACATAACGAATCTATTCCAACTTACGGAACAACAGTTCGAACCCGATATAATCAAAGTCAACTCGGGTTAAACTTATGAACAATCCAAACCTCAAATTTTCATCTTTCACCAAATAGTGCTCAAACTTTTTAGAAATATCCAAATGCAAATTCGGGCATATGCCCAAGTCCAAAATCACTATTCGGACCTAACAGAATCATCAAAACTCTGATCCGCGCTCAGATACACAAAAGTCAAACTTGGTCAGCTCTTCCAACTTAAAACTTCTAACATGAGATTCATTCTTTCAAATCAACTTCGAATCACCTGAAAACCAAAATTGACGACTCACACAAGTCATAATACATCGTATGAAACTACTCATGACTTCAAACAGCAGAACAGAATGCAAATGCTCAAAATGACTGGTTGGGTCGTTATGGAATCCACATGGAGTTTAAAGTGGTGTTAAGGTAAACCCTCGAGAAAAAGAACTTGAAATAACTAAATTTGTCTTTCAAGCAAAGGTGTGTAACTGTTATCTAAATTAACTGCTAAGAGATTCAACTAACTAGTAAGAAAATAATGATTGAAATATTTGTTTGATGTTTTTGTCAATTAGGAAAAGCCTAGAGTTGTAACCTTCACCTAGGTGTAAACCTTAATGGGTAGAATAAATCTATACTTGTTTGGTAGATTTAACTTTTAATGCCCAAGTACCCACTCAATACCTCTCGGTTAAAATAGTGTTTTTGCCCAAATTGGTTTTCTAAAGTCCAAATAAGTAGCAATCTAAACAATTGAATATGAGTCCAAGTTGGATTATCCATATCTCTAGTTCAAATATTTTAATCAAACTAATCAAAACTTTAACTAGTTCAATTTCTTGTTAGCCAAGTTTTCCTAGACTAAATCCCTCTTTTTCAAATAAGAATGAAGTCAAATATGCATAAATCAATATTTGCAATCATTAATTTTAAGTATAAAGCATAAACAAGGCTAAATAACATCCACCCAATCAATAGCAAGCACTAATATTAAACACTCATAAGTTTTACACACTAGGGTTAGATCACAACTCTACTCATAATCATTGACATGAAAAAAAAATAAAGAAGTAATTAAAGACATAAAACTAGAATTAAAGAGTAAATTAATGGGTCTTCTCTAATTGTTGCTCCAAATTGTCCAAAATGGCTAAATATAATAGCTAGCAGCTGCTACAAGACAAAAAAGTTGCCCTAAAAAAGTGTTCCTCGTCTATTTATAGTGCTCTGGAATTTGCTGACAAAAATACCCTTCGGAGGGTTTTGCGGCCACACAATTACGTATGCGGTCGACACTTTGGAATTTTGCTCTTGCAGGTGCTTTCAGATGAAGAGATTCTACGACCGCGCATAAGCTTCTGCGGTAGCACTTCAGCTTCTGCGATCGCACAATTTCGCTGCGGCTGCACTTTAAGTAGGCTTTAGACTTGTCCTATTACATCTTCTTTGATGTCTCAGGTTTTGACAGGGCGAGCTTCAAATGTGACCGCACTTTTTGGTGTACAAACCGCGCTGCTGCCAAAATCCTCTGAAGCTTCAGAGCTCCTTCTGCGTCTGCATATCATTGTCTAAGGTCGCATTTGGGTCGCATTTGCTTTTGCGGCCGCAGATGAAATTCTGCTGACCGCACTATTCTTGCACTTCTCCTCTTGACTGTTTGAACTGGAACATCTGCTCTTTGAGTTAGATTTTTTCGTTGAGCTCACATTCTCCAGCACACCTGCTGTTTACACATTTTCATTAGATTCGGAAACAAAAAATCACTACTTTCGGACTCAAAACTAAAGCAAAAAAATACTAATAAGTGGTTAAAATCCACACTTATCATTCACCCATTTTCATTTCAAGCCTGCACATATTTTTATCTAGTGATTGTAAATGTTGTATTTTACAGTCAATAATTCTTAATCATTCTTTTCTTTTGTTAAACTTTTATTTTTTTTATTATATAGGGGAGGAAAAGGGGAAGGAAAATTGTGGGAGTGAATTACAACGTAAAAAATCGAACCTTAACCGAAAAGGTAAAGTTAAGATTAGCTAATCACTGAACTACTAAGATTCTCTTTTCTTTTGTTAATTAATTAAAAAAATTATAATCTTTTAAGCATATTCATCTCAAAAAAGGATTATAATTGGCTTGAGAAAAACAAATTAATAAATTCATTACTACATTATGCACTAGTTACCAGCGTTCGTCAAAACATCCATTTTAAACTTGGGACATTAATCATACCCCACGAAGGAGCTAATCGATGGTTATAATTTAATAATGCGAAGATGTCATGATTCATGAGTTTAACTATTTGGATAAGTCGAAAACATCTGGAAAGCTATGATTGATGTATGTAGCTCATTATCACAAATTTCACACTAGAACTTATAGATTAAAGAAATATTCTCTCTTTTTTTATCATCTGCGAAAGAGTTCCGAAAAATGCTGTAATATCTAGACCTTATTCTTGAATTATTAACAACTGAACTTCGTGATTGGAAGATATCATTGCCTTTTTTTTGACATGATTTTACTTCATCTTCTCGCTATCAGAATAAATTCTCATGATAATTATATATAATGCAGTACAGTCACACGGCTCTTTAGTCGTTAAAACTTAAAAGTTATTAATATGGGGGGGGG